CCCCAAAACCCCAAAACCCCAAAACCCCAAGCTAAAATGATTAGTATCAGTTTAAGATTATTTGAATTCAAATACAATTATGCAATTAATTAAATATTATAGCTATCTTGCAATAAAATGAGCAAAAATTAGCTTATACAAATAAAATTAGATAAAAAGGGAGGCATAGGAAGCAAGTTAGTATCAGCTGATACTAGCAAGGTGGATATTAAATAGTAATCAAAACTAGAGGATAGTAAGTTTGAAGAATACGAAAGAGAGCTTGAAAAGTTCTCGAAAATGAGAATCAAGGATCAAAAAGATAAATTAAATCAAAGCACAAAAACAGAATTAGGAAAGCCTACAGTAAACACGAGTATGAGACAACCTGCTGTCACTCTATAATCTTTTATGGAGGATCTACCTGAGGAAGAGGAATATAAAGTTAAATAGTCAGAAAAATCACTATTTGAAGAGGGTTCTGGCCGTGCTAGCAAAAGATCAAGTATATAAGGAAAGCTTGAATGAAGGTATGGTAAGTAACTTCAAATTTTTGTATAAGAATATTTGTTTCAAAGCACTATAATGTATTTTTAGTTCATTTATCTTAAGCTAACTACTATATAGATGAAATGGATGATTAGGCTAGAAGAGAATATTAAAAACGAGATAAATTGATGAAGACAAAAGAGGAAAAAGCTAGATAGCAAAACTAATAATAAGTGTCATAGTAAAATTAACAAAAAAAGTGAGGCGGAACAAAGCAAAAGGAAAATGTAAAATAAGACTCGACTCAGAAAAGTCTATTAGAAAAATTGAAAGCTAAAAATGAGAAATAAAAATAGCAAAAAGAGTAGTAAATTTTGCATGAGATTGAGGAATTAAAGAGTCAATAATATTTAAGCTTTGATGAAGAAGAAGAGAAGCAGAAAGAGGAATAAGAATAGATATTTGTCATTGATACTAAAACCAAAAGAGATAAAGTAGATTTAAGTGATGTTCGTAGGAAGGAAAATAAAAATGACTAGCAGAAAAATTAGCAACAAGATCTTTGAAAAAGAAAACCTAAATAAAAAAATGCAAGTACTTTGAGGGAGGAAGAAGCAATAAAAGTTAATGAATAATCAAAGATTTCTGGAGTAAACATAAAAAAACAGGAATCAGATAATTAAAAGCAGCCTAAAAATGAAAAGAAATCCAAAGGATAAAGAAATAAAGCTAAAGGTGAAGTTAGAGTTGATAATGAGAATAAAAATCCAAACTAATAGAGAAAGAAAAATGAGGAAAAATAAGGTAAAAAGCAAGGAGAAGATGAATCGGATGATTCCTCATCTGATTTCTAAAAAAATGATAATGGATTTGACAGTGAGAGTGAAAGTGATAATAGCAATGACTCAGATAGTAGTGAACAGTCTAGGGGAAGATAAAATTCAAGACGACGAAGAAAGGATCGAGATATAAATCGTAATTTTAGTCCTGCTAAGTTAGTTGATGAGGATTTATACAATATAGAGGATATGATAGAAAATAGTATTAAAAATTTAGAGAGCGTGTACAAACCTAAGATATTCAGGCATACTGCGCTGAAAAACTTCCTTGCAAAAGCTCTGGCTGAAATGAATCCAGATTTGAGTTTATAAGGAACAACCATCGAGTACTTTAGTGAGTTATTCGTCAGATACATATTTGAGAAAGCTTCCTTTGAATACTGGAAAGTTAAGAATAACTAAGTTGACTACTAAGGATGGCCAGACCCTTTAAAGATGGATGTAATGTTTGAAAATATCTGGAACTCAAATTATGAACATCAATTGAGTTTTCTATACAAATGAGGATGATTTCTATGGATTTTAAATAGCACAAGTCATAGTATATTGAATATTATGAATTTAGTAGGCTTTTAGGTTTAATAAATTGTCTTCAAAATTTAATTTTCAATAAATTCCTTAAGGGGTTTTGGGGTTTTGGGGAGATCGGAAGGGCACACGTCTGAACTCCAGTCACT